GCTCACAGCAACCTCCAACTCCTGGGCTTAGGCAATTCTCTTGCCTCAGCCTCTGGAGTAGCTGGGATTACAGGCACCTGCCACAAACGCCTGGCTAGTTTTTGGTTCTGGTTGTCATTGTTTGGCAGTCCCAGGCCAGATTCAAACCCGCCAGCTCTGGTGTATGTGGCTGGTGCCTTAGCCACTTGAGCCGCAGGCGCCAAGCCAAATGATAGGGGTTTTTTTGAGATAGAGTCTCACTTTGTCACCCTTAGGAGAGTGCGGTGGCGTCATAGCTCGCAACAACCTCAAACTCTTGGGCTCAAGCCATTCTCTTGCCTCAGCCTCCCAAGTAGCTGAGGGGGTCTACAAGGCACCTGCCACAATGCCCAGTTATTTTTAGAGATGGGGTCTCTGGCCCAGCCTTGTCTCCAAGCTGTGAGCTCAGGAATCCAACTGCCTTGGCCTCCCAGAGTGCATTATAGGCATGAGCTACCTACCATTCTTGGCCAATGATAGCTCTTTTAATACTTTATATTTTCTCTGAACGTATTTAATTTTCACACAAAATAAGCTTCAGTTTTACATTTTCCTCTTAATTATTCATTACAGAGTTGAAGATGATGTTCCTGCGCCTTCTACATCTGCAGATAAAGTGGAGAGGTAAGATTATTGACATGGTGTAATCAGATTCCTATCTGGAATACAAACTATGAGCAGTATGACTTGGGGGCAGTTAGTTTCATTTAATTAACTGAAGTTAATGTACTTGTCTGTATGTAATTTATAGTCTGGAGTCTTCTCCCTGCTTCTTTATTGTCTTACTGTATATTGAAATGCTGCTGCTCTCTCCCCTTTCTCCTTTATTTCCCAAAATTTTGTCCATGGCTTACTCTAGCTTGAAAAGTTCTGTTTTCCCCCATAATTCAGGGAAGCTCCCATTAGAGGTTTGAACTACTGCTGCCTCTGCCCTGGAGTGCTTTTTCTCTACATGTGTATAGCTTGCTCCCTATCTTTCTTCAGTTTTAACATTGGCAGTGTGAAGCTAGGTGCAGTGGCTCACACCTATAATCCCAAGCACTTGAGCCCGAGGCAGGTGGACTGCCTGAGCTCACAGTTTCCAGATCAGGCTGAGGCAGGAGAATTGCTTAATCCCACGAGTTTGAGGTTGGTGTGAACTATGATACCATGGGACCAAGGGTGACAAAATGAGACTCTGTCTCAAAAAAAAAAAAAAGGCAATATGGTCTTCCTAGATCAGTATTTTTATAGCCACAGTGCCTAGAATTGTGCCCAGCAATAGAAGGTGCCCAAGTACCGGTTGATGGAATAACTTGGCTT